TAGGGTCAGAATGGTTTTGTCACTGAGATATGTGGGGTAGGGCAAGGATGGTTTCGTCAAGCATGGGGGTAGGGTAAGGATAGTTTTGTCAAGTATGGGGGTAGGGTAAGGATGGTTTTGTCAAGTATAGGGAGTAGGGTAAGGATGGTTTTGTCATATATGAGGAGTAGGGTAAGGATGGTTTTGTCATATATGGGGTTAGGGTAAGGATGGTTTCGTCAAGCATGGGGGTAGGGTAAGGATAGTTTTGTCAAGTATGGGGGTAGGGTAAGGATGGTTTTGTCAAGTATAGGGAGTATAGTAAGGATGGTTTTGTCATATATGAGGAGTAGGGTAAGGATGCTTTTGTCATATATGAGGAGTAGGGTAAGGATGCTTTTGTCATGTATGGGAGTAAGGTCAGAATGGTTTTGTCACTGAGATATGGGAGTTAGGGTAAGGATAGTATTTCCAATGTGAGGAGGGAGACTAACAGTGATTTGTCAACCATCCAGAAAAAAGATAGAACGAATTGGGTTAAATGTATAAGGGTTTTCGTATGGGGCTATACGTATAAGTGTAATTTCTTACAAAGGAAGGGTTAATATTAATGCGAACGAACGGTACGTACGAAGGTAGAACGTAAAGTAAAAGAAAAAGTTACGACTGAAGTACGAACAGGTAAACGAAATATAGGTAAATTATAGGAAATATATTTTTTGAGGTGATCCAGGATTTGAGCTACTTCAACAGCAATTTCGTGCAATAGAGGCTTTGCACCATGACAGGAGGCAAACCAATAGATTGTTTTTCCCTTAGTAAACTGGATTTTTTCTCATGTAAATCAGACCAGATTCAATTGTTCCTGCCTCCTGTCATGGTTGCCATCACGTGATGGTACAAAGCCTCTATTGGTTCAAAAGATGTTGATACAATTTCTTTGCTCAGATTTCTACACTCAAATGAGATCTCCTGCCATTGCTGCTTTTCAATCATTCCCAAGGGAGTGAGGTAACAAAAGACATGGCGGCCTTGTTGGATGATACAACAAAATAATCCATTGAAAATTCTTTTGTTAAATTCATCCAACATGGCGACTATGACGTCATGTGCAAACGAAGAATTGAAATCAAATGTTACGGTGCTTGATACTTACATCGTTTGCTACGGCTCTGTCTGTACCACTACACAGAAGACATGTGTATTCTCTATCTAGGATTTGACGAATCTAGACGAAATATGGATACTCTCATTAACATCAGTAACGTCATGAACAATATGATTACCATCAAACGTTTAAATCTTCAAAAGCATCCCCGTCATCATCCTTACCATCATTACTGTGATGCATTATCATCACCATTACAATCATCGTCATCATTATCACAATCATCATCATCATCTACACCGACACCACTGTTATCATCATGCATCACCATCATTATGACCATCATAATCATTACCATCATCATTATCATCGTCATCATCATCAT